CTGCGGCGGGTGCTCATGAGCATGGAGCCCCGGCGACTGGAGCCCGCGCACCTGGCGCAGCTGCTGCTCTTTGCCCCCGACGCCGACGAGGAGCAGCGCTATCAGGCCTTCCGCGAGACGCCCGGCCGCCTCAGCGAGCCGGACCAGTTCGTCCTGCAGGTGCAGCAGCCGCGCGACCCCGGCTTCAGCCTCGGCCGTCAAGTCGGGGCTCTCGCTATGGTTGAGGGCTGCTTCTGTCTCACACCCCTTTGGTACCGCCACGCACTCACGCCTCTGAGTCCCGATTTAACACTAGGCCTAATGACTAGTTCTCACTCGGTGTCTAGGGAGGGTGGAATGAGGGCGCCCCCTAGGGCTCGTGCTTATTTTTTCCTAAGAGCACACCAGGCCCAGTCAGGCAGCTGAACTTCACTCCAGACTGCGATGGGGCAGTGGGTCTCCTAGCGAGGGAGGAGTGAGTCCTGGTCCTACCTTTGCTACAGATGCTGTCGGTTCCCGAATACAAGACCCGCCTGCGCAGCCTCCACTTCCAGGCCACCCTACAGGAGAAGACGGAAGAAATCCGGGCCAGCCTTGAGTGCTTGCGCCAGGCCTCGCTAGAGCTCAAGAACAGCCGGAAGCTAGCCAAGATCCTGGAGGTCAGGGGGCATCCCCTCCCTACTTATGCCTCCTGGAGTTTCCAGCCTAGAGGTCCATTCCAGATAGCTGGGCCAGGGGGAGGGTGGCTGTTGGGACAGAACCGGCCCACCTTCCTCTCCACAGTTCGTGTTGGCCATGGGCAACTATCTCAATGATGGACAACCCAAAACCAACAAGACTACAGGCTTCAAGATCAACTTTCTGACAGAGGTGAGGGGACCAGTCAGCAGTAAATGATTAGCTTACTCTGACAGCCAGGTGCAAAGGACAAGTCTAAATGTTGTGGCAGAGGGGAAGAGAGGACATTTTGACCAAGGAGGGCCCTACCCCTGGATATGAGGATGGGGATGGGAAAAGGTGACTTCTTCAAACTATGCCTCAGAATCTGACAAAATGGAGTTGGGGAGGGGAGTCAGAGAATGTCAAAGACCAGGAGTTGATGCCACAGTCCAGAAGCGGGGCCCACGTGACCAGTAATCTGATAGGGTCCTTCAGGATGTATGTTGGGGGTCACTTGCAGCTGAATTCCACCAAGACAGTGGATGGGAAGTCCACCTTCCTGCACATTCTTGCCAAATCACTGAGCCAGCACTTCCCTGAACTCCTGGGCTTTGCTCAGGATCTGCCCACAGTGCCCCTGGCAGCCAAAGGTAGGCTGGATGAATGGGTGGGGAGGCGGAGGGATGCTGGCCTGGGCTGGGAGGATGGCCCCATGAAGCTCTGGTCTTTTTTCCTACAGTGAACCAGCGGGCCCTGACCAGCGACCTAGCTGACCTCCATGGCACCATCAGTGAGATACAGGCTGCCTGCCAGAGCATGTCCCCCTCCAGTGAGGACAAGTTTTCTGTGGTCATGGCGGTATCCTCTGAGCAACTGTCCCAGCATCAAGCTGGATCCTGGGGTGGCTGGGTAGAGCTGGCTATGTCTTCAGTGGCCATTGCAGACCTCATCTCCCAGTAGAGATTCTGGGCACAGGTTGCTGTGTGCTAGGGCTCCTGGGAGAGGTTCCATCCTGGGCCATTTAGAATCTAAGTGCTTATGCCAAGTCTGTGTGTGACTGAGGCTGGAGCTCTTTTGAGTGTCCCAAAGCCACTGCCCAGCTCTGTGTGCCCTCATGGGCAGTGGAACCCAGACTTAAGCCACCAGATAGAAGGAGAGGTCTTTCAGGCCCTACGAGCTAAAGGCAGTCAGGAACCCCCAGCAGGGCCTGGCTAGCGGAGCCGGCAAGTTGGAGTCAGGGTGGATAGGAGAGAAGGGCATGGGCACCTCCTCCTGCTCCCCTTCTCTAGCCCTACACTCCTCAAAGAAGAAGACAGTGCTTTGCCTGCTGAGGCTAAAGCTGGGTAAAGGGGAGGGCTCTGGGGACTGCCTATGTCCCAGGCATGGGCGCTCCCCCTAGAAAGCCCCTGGCAGGTATCCCTGCCCCCAGATGATGATGCCTGCTGGGGTTGAGTGTCCAGGTAGGAATGTGGCATCAAGTCCTACCCTTCCTCTCAGGCAGGAGACCTCGCACTAACTGCTGCTTGTGAAAGGTGCTTCTCACACCCATTCCCTTTAGCCTATATACCATCCAGATGTTTTGCAGATATGGAAACCAAGGTTGTTCAGGTGAGAGTTAATCTAGGGGTGCCTACCTGCTTCTTCAGCTTAGCTGTCCCCAGAGAGAGGTCGAATGTTCATTGAAGAGCAGTCTCTGCAGAGAGACTTGAATAGGCCCAAATTCTGACTCGGTTGTTTACTGGCTGTATGACTTTGGTCAAGTTGCTTGCCCTCTTTGAGCCCAGTTTCTCTTCAGCAAAAAGAGGTCATGAGAGGACCAGCAGTTAGCGTAATGGCTATGTTGCTGAACTCCCATGTAGCCGACCACGGTTCGAGTCCCGGACCCAGTGGCTTAAACTCACGCCAGGCGCATGTGTGTGCATGCCCAAGATCCTGAAAAGAGAATGGAGGAGAAGGGATTGCAGTGTGGCCATCCGCCCTGGGGGGTGATTTCTCGCTTTCTATCTCTCTGTCCTTCTGGCTAGCGCAAGTGCCCTATAGCAAAACAAACAAACAAAAAACAAACTGCTTGCCCTCTTTGAGCCCAGTTTCTCTTCAGCAAAAAGAGGTCATGAGAGGACCAGCAGTTAGCGTAATGGCTATGTTGCTGAACTCCCATGTAGCCGACCACGGTTCGAGTCCCGGACCCAGTGGCTTAAACTCACGCCAGGCGCATGTGTGTGCATGCCCAAGATCCTGAAAAGAGAATGGAGGAGAAGGGATTGCAGTGTGGCCATCCGCCCTGGGGGGTGATTTCTCGCTTTCTATCTCTCTGTCCTTCTGGCTAGCGCAAGTGCCCTATAGCAAAACAAACAAACAAAAAACAAACAAACAAACAAAAAACCTCTCCCCCCCCCAAATAAAAGAGGTCATGAGAATTCTCATGACAGGGGACTGTTGTGGTCATTAACTGGTTACAACACAACTGGGTTCAACCTTGGTTCTGACATTGTTCACTGTGTGATCATGGTCTAGTTTCTAAACCCTGTGCTGCCATTCCTTCACATGCAATGGGGATGATCTGCTGCACAGAGATGTTATGATGAAGTAAGAATGTGCAAAAGCTTAGAACAAAGCTTGGCACAGCTTAAGTGCTTAAAAACCATGGTAGTGATTCAGCTGGATTTTTTTGAGCACTTACTATGTGCTAGATACTATTCCAAACAAAAACAAGTTTGTACTGGGGGCACAGAAAATGATCTTGTGAACAGTTTGAGATAGTGACCAGTGCTATAGAGAAAAGAAAGAGTAAGTCTTAGTGGCAGAGGAGCTTCTGTTTAGGTGGCTGGGAGGAAGGAGGCGGTAGTCTCTGAGCAAAGCCCCAGGGAAAAGAGCAGCACTGAAAGGCCCAAGGCTGCCATGGATGGCAAGATCCATGATAAACTTCCTGTGCTTTGGGACTGGAGCTCCTGGACAGGGCACCGTCCCTGCTGACGCAGAACTCAGAGTGAGTGTGGGCAGCTAGGGCGCTATCTGGGGTCATCAGCCAGGAAACCAGGGGCACCCAGGAGACTGACTTCTTCCTTAACGGAGACTCATCAGTCTTTCCTGGAGACAGCCCAGCCAGTGCTGCGAGCGCTGGATGCACTGCAGCGGGAGGCCATGGAGGAACTGAGCAAGGCGCTGGCTTTCTTTGGAGAAGATTCTAAAGCCACCACCTCTGAAGCCTTCTTCGGCATCTTCGCAGAGTTCATGAGCAAGTTCGAGGTGAGCCATGGAGGAGGCCTAAGAGGTCCCTTAGGAGAGGCTGGGACCAAAGGTCAAATGATGGGGCCCTTGTGCAGTCTGGGCCAAGAGAGCGTCCCCAGTGAGTGACATGTCCCTCTATGCCCCATGGGTTGGGAGGCACACAACCTCAGCGCTGACTATCTGGGGTGGGAAGACAAGGCAGGAACACAAAGTGCCTCCTGGCGGCACTGACCACTCCCTCCCCACATTTGTGCTTCCTTCCCCAGCGAGCGCTCAGCGACCTGCAGGCTGGGGAGGGCTCACGAAGCTCTGGGATGATTTCACCTCTGGCTTGGTGACAACGGCCACTCAGCATCCTCTGCAGCCTGAGTTCAGAGACTGACGCCAGAGGCTACACCTGAGAGTGTGGTTCAGATACCGCCTAGGTCTGGGGTCCCTGTGCCCAGGCACTGAGCACGCGGCCTGGCTGCCAGAGGGAAGGGCCTGGGCGTGGGGCCAGGCTGCCACCCGCGTCTCCAGCTACCTCAGCTGCCAAGTTCCAGCCAGGGCCCTCCTCTGCCCACCCTCATTCTGCCCCCTGTCTGGGCCCAGACTCCCTAGGGAGCGGGAGCCATGATGGGCAGACACCAAGAAGACTGAGCCCATCAGGCCAGGCTTTGCCCTACACTATTGGCTTGCTACGCCCACTTCCCACCTCTCTCCTGAGCATATTCAATAAAGTGCTGTTACGCTTGCCCCAGGTCATGCATGGATTATGCAGTGATTACACCCCAGAGCAGTTGGCTCCCAGGCAGCAGGATGCACCTGCCTCACAGAAGGTTGTGTGAACCTCCTTTCTGAGCTGGAAGCTCGTGAACATGCAGCCAAGCCAGCATGGGAGGGCCTGGGGGCCCCTCACCCAGCTTGCCACATGGAGGATGGTGGGCAGGCAGGAAAGCCCAAAGTACCTGGACCAGAGGTTTTGAAAGCTGGAAGAAGCTGCAGTTGACTACAGCTAAGGACAAGAGGAGAGAGGCCTGGGAGTGAGACAGGGAAGGAGTGAAGTAGGAAGACCCCTAAGGCAGACTGCAGAACTGACCCAGAATTTTCCTCTGGGACAAGTGGTAATCAGAGTTAGTAGGGAGGTTGGAGAGTGGAAAGGGGGTTATTAGGAGAGAGATGGAATGGGGAGATGTTCAGGTGGTGATGAACAGGATTTGGTGGTTTGCAGGTTTCTTACCTGGATGGGTAGTGATGATATTTCCTCACAGACCCTGTGAGCTAGGCAGGTTTGGGGGCAGAGAAGACAATCTGGGACATGTTTGGTTGGTACCTGAGTCTGTTTTTTATATGTATCTGGTTAGATGATGGCACTACCTAGATGCCAGGAACAGGTAGAGCAGGGAGGAAGGAGGGTGTGCATGCTCTGGTGGATAGATCCAGGGTTTAGGCAGCTTCCCATTAACTTATCCCTTAACTTTTTCCCAGAAAAGTCTGAAATGGGCTTTAAACCTGTCTCTTGGATGTTTTTTTTCTTCCTGGTACAATTATTGAGTCATCAGGAAAGTCATGACATATTTTTCTATGCAAAAATGCATCATGACTTTCCTGACAACCCAATAAACGGCTACTGTTGCTACTGAGCAGTATAAGGGATCGATTCAGTTCTTCCCAGTCTCCAACAGGGCCTTCTTTGAATGTCCTTTATTTGTTCCCTACTCACAATCACCATATCTAAACCAAAATGGATACTTCAAGGGGGAATGTGGCTAGTAGGTTACATTTCTCTTTAGTAACTCAAGCTGGGTGGTTTCTATAAGTTCCCAGTGCCTGTATACTAGGAAGCATGTCAGAAGTCATTTAAAATTCTTGTGTTAAGATCTATAGAGATTTCAGACTACCAGGCATAATCCCCAGGCCCAGCTAGATCATATGGCATTTTTCTGCAAGGAAGAAAAATATGCCCTCTCTAGGAGATCCAGCCTTTTGATAGCGGAGTTTGGCAAATCAAGAACTAACTAGGTTTTCTCCCTAACATGCTTTCTATCAGTTAATGTACTTACCACAACAATGCCGGGTAGCAAACTGTCCTTAAGATGGCAACCACTCTTGGGGACCAGCAGGTGGCATGGTGGCTAAGGTGCTGGACATTCCCACATGGCCGACATGGTTTGAGTCCCGGAACTGGTGGCTTGTTTTCTCACTTTCTCTCTCTCTCTCTCTGGTCAAATTAAAAAAATAAATGAACGAATAAATAAAATTAAATAAATAAATCTTTAAAAAAAAAAGATGGCAACCACTCTATGGGTCACCTGGGCGATTCTTATCTGGGCCAGACTCAGTGGGCTCCCTCGTGCATCTGCAGTCAGTTGTGAGTCAGTTAGCAGCTTTGCTAATTATGCAGAGTTCTTTCCCATGTTTCTGAGGCTTTGGCTGGGAAAGCTGGAGTACTCTTCCGTGGTCTCTCATCTTGCACTCAAATAGCCAAGACTGTCCACATGATATAGAGAGGGATTCAACAAATAAGCAAAGGCACAGAAAATCGCTGTGAAGAAGGTTTAGGCTCAGAATCAGCACATCATCCCTTCTGCTACATTCTGTTATCAAAGCAAATGACAGGACCAGCCTAGATTCTAGAGAAAGGGAAACAAATCTGACGCTTGATGGAAGATGCTGTGAAATCACATTGCACAGGATGTGGATTCAGGGACAGATGGAGAATCAGGGCTATTTTTGAAAACAACCATGCCTCCTTGGCCAGGTGCTCTGAGAAGATCCCAACCTTCTTAAGATACCCAGTGGCCGTGGTCCTCCTGGACCCAGTCCAGCTGGTTACCCATTCTCATGTGTCTATAGGTGACATGCTTCTTTCTGTCTTACCTGGTCACCAAGAGTTACCTGACTCTTCTTCAAATATTTAGTCCAGTGAGCAGTGATGGTCTACACCTGCCTGGCAACCAGACTCATTCTTCTGTCAAGAAAAGCTCCCTGTTTTTCCTTTGGGAAATGATCTTTACCCTAATCCCAGGCCCTGCAGCTGTGCTGATTGAATAAGCATGATCTCATGACTGGCAGAATAGCTCAGAGTTAATCCAAGACTCAAATTGGAACTATTTGAAATGAAAGGATCTCTTTCCTCTGCAATTGCTGAGTGTATAGAAGGTGGCGGCCACCTGTGTGGTTGTAAAGCCAATACAGGAGAGAAAAAAGAGGAGAGAAGATCACCATGTACATCTCTATTCCTGGATTTAACCATGCCTGAAGTAGACATCTGGACTTGTCAGTCTCCAAGTCAACTAATCCCCCCAATATTTTTAAATGTGTAAAACTTATTTTAATTTCTTGGCTCAGGCTGGTTTGGATGGAATTCTTTCACTTACAATCCTAAGACGGTTGGCTAACATGCCTGTCAACAGGTACCTACAGATGTTCAGTCCATTGGATGTGCTCAGTGAGCTCTTCATTCATAAATGCTTTTACCAATATTCTGTCACTTCCTATGTGCCAGGCACAATCTTATGGGTCATCCTCTCTGGGTTTGGGTAACCACTCCGAAGGTATATTTTATGGAGGTTCTACCCCAGAATCAATGCAAAGTCCTGGATGAGCCAGCCTGTGTACCACACCTCTCCCACTCCCAATTCTTCACCAGCTAGCAAGGTGTAAATGCAGACACTTATGCCCCAGGGGTTTATTTATCCCTCAGTAATGCAAAATAACATCACCAATTACACTGCCTTTCCAAATAAGGGTATCAGTTCCTGTTTACTAGGTAAGTCAACATCTTTGCCTATTTAATTTCATTTTACTTTCACAACAACCCACTGAGGTGACTTTTGTTATCTCTCTCTCTTTTTTTTTTTTTTTTTTGCAAATGTGAGTCTGACTCTCAGAAAGTTTCTTCACATGACTTGCTGAAGTCCATCTAAATCTAAAGCCCATCCTCTGAGGGAACTATCTCCTTTGTCTTGCTTAACACAACCATTGATTTTAAAAAAAAGTTATTTATTTTACATTCTTTCACTGAACATCGTTCTGAGGGCCATACACACTGGTAACTTTAATGTAAAGGCCTTAGGACTTTCTCACCTCCTCCTGTTCCTCCCTATATTAGTCTCCTAGGGCTGCCATAACAAAATGCCACACACTGGGGGGCTTAAAACACAGACTTTTATCTTCTTACAGTTTTGGAGACTAGAAGTCTAGTGTCAAAGTGCTGGCAGGTTTGGTTCCTCCTAAGGCTGTTCTTTCTGGATTGCAGATGGCAGCATTCTTTTTCTTTTTCTTTTTCTTTTTTATTTTTTTCCAGTATTTGCCATAGGGCTCAGGCACTTGCCAGAGAGAGGGAAAATAAGAAATCACGTCCGCCCCACCATAGCCACACTATGATTCCTTCTTCTCCTCCCTCTTGAGATTTTGGGCACACACACACACACACACACACACACACACACACACATGTGCCTGGCACATTTTCCAAGCCACCAGGTCCAGGACTCAAACCATGCAATGGGCCATGTGGAATCCAGCCACCCAAATCACCACAGCACTGGCTGGGCCCTTAATAACCTTTTTATAGACCTTATCTCTAAATACACTCACATTCCAAGGTACTGGAGGTTGAACTCTCCAAGATATGAAATTGGGGGAAGGGGAGACACAATTCAGTCCATAACTCTTCTTTATCAGGCACCAAAGATATATTGGGTCATTGGAAAAATCAAGACACATTGTTTTGCATAGAAAAACAGAAAAATGCATTGTGACTTTTCTTTTTTTAATTATTTTATTTATTAATTCATTTATTTTAATTTGACCAGAGAGGGAGGGAAAGTGAGAAGGCAAGGGAAAGTGAGAAGGCAACCCACCAGGTCCGGGACTCAAATCATGGTCAGCCATGTGGGAGTATCCAGCACCTTAACCACCACACCACCTACTAGTCCCCCATCGTGACTTTTCACAGGGAAAGTATTCTATCAGGCAGGATTTCTCTCCCCTCCTCTCTTTGAAAGCTTCTATGCATCTAGTCTATCATCCCATGGCACTCACTCTCAACTTGTGCAATTTAGAGCTAATACTCTGTCTATGCTATCCACTATCCTCCCCAAACTCCCAGGGCTCTCAGTCTATCAGTGAGACTCTCCACTGACTCTTCTATACCTGTGAACAGAACATTCATCCCTCCCACACTATTCCCTAAGAGCAGTTCTTACTCTGGTGGCTATTGCTTCCTCATTCTTGCCTTTAGTGAAGCTAAAGCTTTCAGTGTCTTTACTCACTGCCTCTGTGTCTTCATGGTCCATTTACCTCTGGGCACACTGCAGTCTGGCTTTCTCTCCCATCATTCCCCTACACCTGCTATCACTCTGACAGGAAGCCATGGAGAGAGTCTGTTGTCCTTATCTTACTTGACCTTTCAGCAGCATTGGGTACTGTTTACCCTCCCTTGGCAAATTCACACCCACATACCCAGAGTTCAGCTACCAGGTGTCTACTTGCCAATAAGCCTGTCTTCTGGTTGATTTCCCTTGGCCCAGCTGCTTCTGACCTTTGCATACATCAAGTGCTCAACAATTACCCACTAAATCAAACCAAAATAACACCAAGGTAAATGGCTCCCAGTTGTTCAAGAAAATGATGGACTTCTCTCTATGAAATAGTTTGGCATTGTATACCCAAAGCTCTAAAACAAGGGTTGCAAACGAAATATCTTCAGAGACCTGACAAACAATTCAAACGTACGAAGTGGGCCAGGTACACAAGGCTGAGGGTGAAGAGTAATGCTACATAAGGGGAGAGACAGCAGGGAGCACAGGGAGTGAGGGAGACAGCAGGACAACAGGGAGCTGAGGGAGTCGGATGGTGACTGCCTTGTCTTGATGGTGGAAGGTTCTCTACTCCCTTCCCCCTTAGTGCCATGGGGGATGATAAGCCTCATGTTGCTTTCGCAAAGGAAGCCAGAAATCTAGATTTTTTTTTATTTTAAATGTCCCAATTTTTGTAATGTTGACAACCAATTCGAAACTTTACAGATTATTAATTATGAGCCAACATTTCTGTGAATCAAATGGAACTCAGTTTCAGGTTTCCAACTCCTGAAATAAAATATTTGGGCCACTTGATGTGATGCATTTATGCTTCTCTTGGGTAAAGTGGGGTATCCCATTAAAAAAAGACTTGATTTGGGACCAGCAGTTGGTGTAATG